AGTAACATTTTAAGCGACATGTATTATCAGAGGTATGGAATATGGCTATACCTTATTTCCTGGCAAGAAAGAGTTATTGTCATTTTATTGATTACATGAGAGAGCATATTGGTCACGTGACGCTGCGACACATCTTGTCGCACTTACAGTCAGCAGTGCTTTGAAACCTCCACGCCCATTCCACTTCTCAGTTACAGCAGTCTACATTCAGCCCCTTTTATACGAGATTGGTGGGTTCCGGTATTTATACTCGACGGTTCCCCAGTAGGATTTTATTTAACCTTGTTCTCCCCTTTTAGGACCATTGTGTCAGTCCAGGACACAGCCTCACCAGGCTTCTCACTGACCGTCACTGCTAACTACTATTTATCACTGGAGGGGACATTGACGGTCCCTCATCTGTGGAGCCTGGGGAAGTTACGTTCATTTACTGCCATATTAATATGACCCGATGATCGTGGGCTCGCAGCGCTAATTTTCCTGAGATCGTCAGTTTCATGCCCTGGCTATTTGATACAGCTGAACTAATGTTGATAATTACGCTGAAACAATGTGCTTACGCAATAGGTTGGGGGTTTGAGGTTTATAAATATTATTCTTATTGCTACAAGTGTTACAGTATCAAGTCACCGTCTCCCTGGTCTAGTGACAGTGCGTCTGTCCGGAGAGCGGAATATCCGGGGTTCGCTCCCCGGGCGCGTCATACCAAAAGACGTTAAAAGATGGTAATTGTTTTTACCCTGGCCGGCATTAATAGGCTAGAACAAAGCCTGGTCGCCTCGGAGTCAGCCCATATACTGTGTCTGAGTTATCAGACAGGGCAGCATGGTATCTCAGTGGGGTAGCACTATAAAATCGGCATTTGTCCGGACTAGTACAAGCAGCCACACACACGTGCCATATAAGTGCAACAATCTTGAACGCGACGTTAAACCCCATTTCACATCGACTGCATGTTGCAAATCTGCATTGTGATTCTGCTACAATATTGGGTGATACAAAAAAGCCGTATTTAAAACTGTGAGTGTGTTTGCACTTAAGCTGTACATCAGAATTCAGTTACATGTGTATTTGAGACCTATACCTGTTTAACATCAGTTTCAATTCTCAATTACCTCTGTTCCAAAAAGGCCATCATTCAGGCGTACACTAGACACAAGATCACAAGTACTTGTCGCTGTTCTTGACTGCGTGGAACAACGTGTCCCCGAGCTAATACTGACTCAACGAAATTTGGTACCAAATAACCTTATAGGAGGGAGTGTCTTATACAGCATACACGTATTGTGTTCTATATTTGATGACATTAGTGAAGATATCTGCAACCGTGTATATAATTATTCAGGGGAAGATTATGCTATTAACAATAACTACGACGTGTTTGCGATCGGCTAACTGATTGAAAACCGTTGATGAACATTTCTCTCCACCAATGGCACATGTGCAACATTGGATTGTGTTTATCGCTGGCGGTGTCAGTAACCCTTAGGTCAACGTCATCATCTAGTGTACGAATGATGAAATTACGAAAATTAAGCAATTAGTATTTGGTGCTATTTTGGTATATGGTGAGAAATGACTGTTTGGTGGGCTGGCCATTGTAACGTGGAGGCCTTATACAATTATGGAAACCCACGCATTAATACATGAATTGAGTTACATTACAAACCCAGACTCGCTCACCCGTACACGAACTTCTTATGTTATACAGATTGTTCCCAGTCAACGCCATTACTTAGACAAATGTTTAAAGGTCGAGAGAAGGGGGATATTTACACGCAGTTCTAGGAACTTTGTTAGCTGGTTCCATGATGTCTCGCACACATCACTTGTCACACCAACAGTTTTTTTGTTGCAAAAACATATCATGTTGCAGCATACATATGTGACAGAGTCTTTCGTCGTATTTTGGCAGCCAGTGGTAAATTGTACTTATATCTCTGGTATGTCATTAGCATATTAGAATATGTCGTAGAAACGGTAGCTGTAGTAGCAGTTGCAGTTAGTATAGTAGTGGTTTGTTGTTTGACGCCGCACCCAGCAATATCCCTCATATATGGTGGCGATGTGTATATCGAGTCTGGACCAGACAATCCAGTGATTGACATCATGAGCATCAAGTCAGTGAGCCTGATCCCGTTAGTCGCCTCTTCCGACAAGCATGGATGGGTTACTGAAGATCAGTTCTAACCCGGAAGTAGTAGTAGTTGTAGTCGTAATCGTAATCGTAGTAGTACTTACTTACTTATATTGGAGATTTTACGTGCGCTTTCCGACTGCAGCGAATTTCGCACACGGGCCCGGCCAAGCCATTTAATGTGTTTCCGAAAAGGGGGAAAAGTTGTTTGGCAATCCAGTAGGGGTGTTTTAGTGGTTGCTTATATAGAATTTTGGAAATTTTGAAATTTGGAAAAAATGCCAAGAGGGTTTGGGGGACGAACTAAGGGACCTGAGTATGGAAGTTTGTTAGTTTGATTATGTGGTCTGGTTTTGGTAGTTTATTGGGGTTTTAAATGCGATTTATTAGTCCTGTTTTGATTAAGTATACACCTAAGGCTTTGAATTTTTCTATTTTATTTTGTGGGTTTAGGATTGCTTCTAGAATAAGAGCCTTATTTAGATTTAGGGTGGTTTGTAGTGTAGTTCGGTGTGTTAGGTAGTGGCTGCAGTGTATGAGTGCGTGTTCTGTGGTTTCTTGTTGTTTGCAATGTGGGCAGGTTCCTGTTGCGTCTTTTCTTATTATTTTGAGGTGGTTATTTAGGTTGGTATGTCCTGTTTGGAGTTTAGTAATTACTCTGTCGATTTTTTTGGACGGATGTAGAATTTTTGGTTTGGTTAGGGGTTTTTTGAGAACCTTTTTGATTTGGCTATTTGAGTTTTGATATAGGTTATGCCATTTTTTGGTGATTTTTTGTTTGTTGACACTTTTAATTTCTGATTTGGAGATGGGTAGGTTTAAGCTTATTTCTGGGATTTTAAGGGATATTGATTGATTGTTTGGGAGTCGGTAGGATTGTGTGGCTTTAGCTGGTTGTGTGATGTGGACTCCGAAACCTGTGTGTTTGGAGATCGGATCTGAGGATCCGTCTGTGTAAATGTGACACCAATTTGGCCAATGTTCATGTATGTATGCTAGTGTGGTGGTTTTAGCTATGTTTGGGTCGGTTTGTTTATTTATTGTGCTAGCTAGTGTTATGTCTATTTTGGGTGTTTTAAGTTTTGGGATGAAGATATTTGATTTTTTACAGTTTTGCTTAAGATTGTTTATTTGGTGTTCATTTAAGTAATTGGTTATTCTTTGGGATATTGGAGTAAGTAGAGGGTGTTTTCGAGCTAGGGCTTGGTTTTTGGGGCTTATATTTTTGTTTATTAGGTTTTGAATTAGGGGGTTGGATTGAGACGCGGCCCAGAAATTTAGGGTTAATTGTTCCCTACGTAGATTTAGTGGCATTTCTCCTGTTAAGGCCTGGAGTGAAGTGTAGGAGGTGCAATGTTGAGTGCGTGTTATTAGTTTTAGAGCCTGATATTGGATTGAGTCTAGTTTTTTGCTTAGGGATTGGTTTAGGGTGTCGTATATGGCACTTCCGTAGTCTATTTTAGATCTAATTAGTGATATATAGAGTGAGAGGAGGGTGTCTTTGGAGGCCCCCCAGTTTGAGCCAGTGAGGCATCTTAGCGTATTTAGATCTTTGCTACATTTAGTTATTAGATTATTTATGTGAGCGTCCCAGGAGAGAGGTTCATCGAAAATTAGTCCTAAGAATTTGGTTTGTTTTAGGAATTGGATTGGTTTGTTGTTTAGCTGGAGTTTTGGGGAGGCGGGTTTCATGTTTTTGTGTTTAAATACTATTCCTGTAGTTTTTTTCCGGAGAAGCCCCATTTGTCAGCCCATTGCTGTATTTTGTTTAGAGATTTTTGAAGTAGGTTTTGGGCCATTTTAATGCTTTTTGTGCGGATCCAGAGGGCTCCATCATCCGCGAATTTAGATGTGTTTGTTGTAGGGGATATGCCCTCGAATAGATCATTTATCATTATATTGAAGAGTGTGGGGCTGAGGATAGTGCCCTGGGGAGTGCCATTTTCTAGGGGACATTGGTCCGATAGCGTTTGGTCTATACCCACGGTTATTTTACGATTGTTTAGGAAGTCGTAGTAGTTGTAGTCGTTGCAGATATATATGCGGCTTGGATGGAGTTACTACATGTGACAGTGCCTAGCTGGTGTCATCTTGAGATGCAGATTTTATCAACTACAAATCAGGTGATACGGAAACATGTTTTAATCTGATCTCATTCACTGGCCACTCCATCCCCAACTCCAGTCACTACTTAGTGTCTGTACCATCACATTGTAATTCTGGTCAGCGGAGTTCTACAATGGTAATCCCCTTTCGGAGATGACGTGGTTTTAACATGCTAACAAACACATTTATTGATCGGGGCCCTGATGATATAAGCAAAGTCAGATTTTCATCAGCAGAAAAGCAAACATCCTTCTCGGCTTAAAAACTCCTTCTCCGAGTGCAGCCTCATTAACCCGCTGAGAAGCTTTCAAACACACCATCTTCTTTGTCCTTTGTGATGTATTTTTAAAACTTACAACTTAAGATGACATCAGCCGCGGGAAGAAAATTACACATCTCCTGTGCGAACGTCTCAATTTATTGAGAACGGGATAGTCCACTTTATGCTTTTTCATCAGGGGTGACACGTTTCCATACAAATAACGGAGTGATAGTCAAATTAAATCGAGATGACTCTTTTGTACATAAAGTTAATATTAGTGCCAAGAATATACATAGTGTTGTTCTGTTTACTTCACACTTACTATTTCAAACATGCATTTATTGAGAAGCATCACGCGAAAACCCCACACCTCTATTGAAGTAGAATCGTCCGGTTGATACAGGCGGTCGTCTGCTCTACGCCTGAGTGCGCACCAATCAAATCGCAGGATTGGCGATCGGCGACCCCGGTCTATTTTAAGGTTGATGTGCGAGAAATGTACACAAATACTGCCATGTGCTTCGCGCGTGAAGGGTGATCAGCTGACAGCCACAGACATCGATGTTTCTTTGACAAGCGTACATTTCACAATGGAAAGAGGTATGTCACTTTCATTGTCTGTCATGAAATATATAGTATTTGCATCAGATATTGTATGTTTAAGCCCCTTTAGGTTCAAAGGTATTTATCATATAACACGTTAACTAAGATAATCTGAAGTGTTTGAAAATAACGTGTTTAAGAACTATTACAAAATTATTAAGCACTACAGATTATCTTAGTTAATGAGGCCTCGGTGATCTAGCAGCGAAGCTATTTCGTCAGAATATATGTATGAACAGTCAAGTGCGGAGGGCGTGTTGGTTTCACGATTGTTTACAAAGACTGTCGGTGATACGTGCTTGTTAGTTGTTATTTTTAAGGCATTGGCATTGTGTTTCATCTGCGCGGATTAACTTTGCAGTAGCACGAATCATATCTGATCATACATAAGTTTTGGCATGAAGGTCCGTTGATGAACTCTATGAGGGACTATAGCATCGCACGAGGTCAGCCCCAACCTCGTGTGTCTATTGCAATCATTGTCATGTGCACCGAGATGGAGACGTGCATGTCCTCTAATTTTGACAACAATATTATCCGTGTATTATCGCCATGTCGGAGATGGGTTTCCAGGGGTCATGGGGCGCGGTCACATCCGTGCAATCAATTTCATTGATGTAGTTGGGCACTCAATATTCTTGTTGCTGTGCTTGTATCGGTTAGGACATGTCATAGATATGTAGTTACCGTGTTATCATGCAACACTTACTAGTATTAAATGTTATATTTACTAAAGTTTTAGTGTATTATCGGTTGTTCAAGACACGTTATATCTTTTGTAGAGATTAACATAAACTGTATAAATTACTAAGTGGCATTTTCCGTCGCCTTTGTTTTTGGTATAACTGGGACTGTGGTATTGCGATAAGATAGGGGATGTAGCGAATGGCTGTGATAGCGCCCCGGTCAGTGTAACGCCGTCGGTAACATGACGTAACTGTACCCTGCTTAGCACTGGACACATTGTCTATAGCAGGATGTGTTGATTAGTGCCGACAGCTGAGAGACATGTGCATTTCATTAGCATGTTCCACGTAGTGCCATTTATTTCAGTAACGAGAAGCCAATAGCTGCTTCTGAAGTCCCAGTGACTTGGATATGCATTTCTCTTATCGTGGCTAAAGGTGATTTCTTGACACATCCTCGGACACTGCACAGTGATTGTACAGTTGACTTCACAAGACTACTTGACTCTTGATAGGGGTTAGGGAATCTAGTAATATGGCATGATTAATTAATAAGTTCCATGACCTAATAACCGCTGTTGGTATGTGCGCGATGGCATACCTTCGTGCGTCCGGCACGGAATCACACGGGTATCCATAAATCAAAGGCTTACAGCGTCGGTGGCAGTCGGGCCCAATCGGCCGGAACACGGCAGAAGGAAGTGTAATTGACAAGGTGATAGGGCTAATGAAAACATCGGTGTTATCTTTCGCCACGTGATTAATTAACTGTCGTGGCGGGTAGATGTGAAAGCCCCACCTTGGATCACACCAGCTGAGTACTACATTATCGGATATCCTTCGCGGGTCGATAGCTGTTTATCTCTTACGTGAAGCGCCCCGCTTGTCAGTTGGGGGCCTACCCACAATACACATCGTAAATGTCATACGGCCAGGGTACGTCCCGGGCATTGTTTTGTGTTGCGTTTTATATTTTAGTTTAATGATTTATTTATCTGTGACTTTGCCTTATAAATGATTTATCCCAGGTATTTTGTACACACTCAAAAGGTCGAGAACATAGCCGATTCTGTAAGTTTGGTCTCAACGTAACAGAAATATGTTATTAGAAGCCACATATAACTGGTAGTAATTACTGCTAGTATCAGCTTTGATGTGTAATGTCTGTAATCAAATATATTCTGTGAGACCCCGCCGACCCCCCCTGTGGAGGTCACACTGACATGCACTGACCAGTGGTCAAGAATGCAACATTCCACACCAGGGGTACGACAAACTGATTACAAAAGTACATATAATGTCCGACATGTCTTTCATCTGTAAACGGAGATGTTCTACCACAATGAACGCATGTCATGCAAGCTTGAGGCGGAAGGACACTTCAGAAGATGTAAAAAATATAATTGTTTGTTTTATCTACACCTAGTGCCCATCCCGGATAGTGAAGTGATGATTATTGTGTGTGACAGGATTATTCAGAAAAAGTAGGGTGGCGTATGCGTGATGGATGTTACAGACAACTTAGCCACACGTTATACTTGTTGCAGCGTAGCACTACCGGCACAGATATATCTCCCATGGCAACACAACTCTTTCAGTTTATGGCCATTCCGATAGGCCGCGACTTTACAGGTATTTCAGGTCACCTGGGGTCAAACGTATCAAGTTTCCAGGTAAATGATTCCGCATGAACAGCAGTAATCTCCCTTGGTGTCTTGTAGTCAGACAAGTGTGTTGGGCTGTCAGCATGGACTACCACGACAGTGAGATCTTTATGATCTACTTTGATCTCGCATCGTTTGTAAAATCACTGGAATGCATTAACTTTCTTCTGGTATTAATTTTCGTCAATTTATATATTAGCGTTGTCTGTTAGTCCCTCACACCTTATCACCCTGTCTTGATAGCACCGGTTCGAGACGTTTGTTCTTCCGCTCGAGAGCAATTTTATAGTTATTCCAAATGTATCTATCTTCGTGGTTCCATGTTGGTCAAGTGACCGATAAGGTAAACGGATGAGGAAGCTGGTGTTTCAACTTTATTTCCGAAACAGAAGAAACGGACTATAATATGCTGAGCACGTTTTCTAATGTTTCGGCGATAACGCATCATGTCCTGACAGACCTACGCAGTGTCCAGCAAGTGCCCATTTATCCAATAAACTCGCCAGTATTGACTTGCTTCGCTGTAAGTAACTCTGAACTTTATACCTTTATGTTTTATCACTGACCTTGTGTTTTGGTAAATCAGATCGCGCAATGCGGCAAATGCATGGTCTGTCAAGACAACGCGTTGCCAAAATAATTGTTGTGTGCACGGAGACCGAGTCTAATAAAGCAGCAGAATTGGCTTTGATATTGAAAACAAAAGCTTCACATCTCGTCTCCAACTGCTCATCGCTGTCTGGCCCGACTTAATGAAGCCATCTGTCCGGTCGCACTTGACCCTCACACTTCGGCCTTGGGGCAACTCATCGATAGATCGATATTGAAGGCCAGATGCCGCCCTGTAATAACTAATTGGCCTAATAATTGCTATTAGAATTGTACATGCGTTTCAGGATGTCCGTTGACCGTTTGAGGTAAAGGTCGCCGTATTCCAATACCGACAACAACGTCCCTGCTTTTAGGCGTGTCGTACATATCGTAGTCTCCCAGACACCATGCAGACAATAAATTGAAAAAGGAGTCCAACTCAAGTCTTGAATGATATGGCAAGTCTGAAATTAAGGGTTGTTTTGGGCTCCATTTGTTTTTTTTAAAATTATTTTAATTATATTATATATTTTTAATAACTTTTTTTTCTGGAACTATATGTCAGTCTACATTGGGGGCGTGTGGTTGAGTTAGTATGTTGAATTCATGTGGCGGGAAAACCACAGATGAAAATGATTTTTTAGACATGAAATTTACATCACTTTGAAACTCGCTAAGATATCACTCTGTCGTGTGGAATCATAGTTTGAGCATTTGCTTACTTACTTTGGAGATTTAACGTGCGCTTTCCGACTGATGCGTATTTCGCACACGGGCCCGGTCAGGCCTTTTAATGTGTTTCCGAAAGGGGCGAAAGTGGTCTGTGCAACCCAAGAGGGGGCTTTAGGGGTTGCTTATATAGAATTTGGGAATTTTGAGGTTTGAAATAGATGTCGATGGGGTTGGGGAGGAGAACTAAGGGAGCTGGGTATGGTGGATGTTTGTTTGTTTATGTGATTTTGATTTGGTAGATTATTGTGTTTTTATTAGTTCCGTTTTGATTAAGAATACGCCTAAGGCCTTGAAGTTTTCTAGTGTATTTTGTGGGTTTAGTATAGCTTCTAGAGTGAGAGACTTGTTTAGATTGAGGGTGGTTTGTAATGCGGTTCGATGTGTTAGGTAGTGTGTGCAGTGCATGAGTGCGTGTTCTGGGGTTTCGAGTTGTTTGCAGTGTGGGCAGTTACCTGTAGTGTGTTTTTTTAATTTTTTTTAGGTTGGTGTGTCCTGTTTGGAGTTTAGTGATTACTCGGCCAATTTTTTTTGATGGATGGAGAATTTTTGGTTTGGTTAGTGGTTTGCCGAGTACTTTTTTTGATTTGGCTATTTGAGTTTAGATATAGGTTATGCCATTTTTGTGATTTTTTGCTTGTTTACACATTTAATTTCTGATTTTGAGATGGGTAAGTTTAAGCTTATTTCTGGGATTTTGAGGGATAGTTAAGCTGCTTTATCGGCGTTTTCATTACCGTATATTCCTACATGGGCGGGTATCCAAAAGAAGGTTATTTGTTTGCCTGCCTTAGTTAGGTCGTGGGAGCTTTTAAGTATTTGATTTATTAATTTAGGTCGGTTTTTGGTATTTTTGTTTTGGAGGGCTTGCAGTCCACTTAGGGAGTCGGTAAGTTTTAGGATTTTTTTTTGGTGTTTTTTGGATTCTTGATTATGGAGGGCTGAGGCCATGCCCATTAGTTCTGCCGTGAATATTGATCGGTTGTTTGGGAGTCAGATGGATTGTGTGGTTTTAGTTGGTTGTGTGGTATGGACTCCGAAACCTGTGTGTTTGGAGGTGGGATCTGAGGATCCGTCTGCGTAAATGGGACACCAATTTGGCCAATTTTCGTGTATGTATGCTAGTGTTGTGGTTTTAGCTATGTTTGGGTCGGTGTGTATATTTATTTGGCTAGCTAGTGTTGTGTCTATTTGTTTTCTTGTTATAACTTATAAGCTCTCCTGCTTCAGTTCCCCCGTCATGTAATCACCCCTATCTTGGCCCCTCCTCGCCCTGACGTAAGACCCTCTTCTCCGATTGTCCACTCGCGGCCATGCCTGTGGTCAC